AGAAATCCAGGGGCAGCAGGACCCCACTCTGCCCTCAGGAGAAAGCCTAACTCCTAACGTGCCTATGTCACCCACGCCCCAGCCCCTGTCTGCCGCCTGGACCAGAAACCCCCTCCGACTTAATTCACCAGCAGCACATAACCACCCATGGCCCCAGAACAAGCCACACCTTCTCTTGGAAAACTCTTCCCCATCTCACTCGGCCACATCCCTTGGCAGTAAGACCCCGCTCATCTGGGAAGCCTCTCTTGGCTGCCCCAGGCTGGGTTATGGGGCCCCATGGTTCCCAGCCCTGCAGCCATCACACTACTGGGAAACTGTCAGCTGACTGTCCATCTCCCCACTAGGCTAGGAGCTCACTGGTCTGCCTTATCCTCTGTTCAATCCCCTGTGCTGGGCACACTGTTGACATTCAGTGGTAGAAGGCTCAAATAAATGAGTCCTGCCATGTGACAGTTCATTCTACCAGCACACCCAAGGCCAGACCTCAGGAGGCCTGGGTGTTATCCTAGCCTGGATACCTGTTTGCTGGGTGACCTTGGACAAATCTCTTGCCCTCTCTGAGATTGCTCTGCTGGCCTCCAGGGGCTGGAAGAGGGTCAAAGTAATGCCAGGCAGGGTAGTGGTAATAAACAATAAAAGGTCCCTGATGAGACCCCTGAGACTGTGACCCCTAGTTACTCTTCAAGTCTAGAACTGAACTCACTCCTGTGGCTTTCAGCCAAACAACAGACAGGCATAAGGGGTGAACATTTACATCCGGTAGATACACTCCTTGGAATGATCAATCATGGGAGACCAGAAGGGCAGTGTTTGCACAAGGAGATATAGCTGGGGGTGGGCGGGGGGAGTGCATGGGAAGGAAGGACACAGGGAAGAAGTAACTACAGGGAAGAAGTAGGAAGAGAGCTGTTACATTGTGGGGAATTGAGGTCAATGTCATGAAACAAAATGTTATGAACTGCTACATGAAATATGAATTTGCTCTGTAAACTTTCACCCAAATCACAATAAAAATTTAAAAGAAAAAAAAAAAACCACTATAAAACATCCCTTAGGAGGATAGGTAGGAGCTCTGGTGGAACAGTGGTTAAAACATTGAGCTGCTAACCAAGCATTGGGCTGTCTATCTCCCCACTAGGCTAGGAGCTCACTGGTCTGCCTTATCCTCTGTTGAATCTCCTATGCTGAACCCACCAGCCGTGTTGTGTGAGAAAGTTGAGAAAGACGAGGTGCTTCTGTGAAAATTTACAGTCTTGGAAACATGGGGCAGTTCTACTCTGTCCTATAGGGTTGCTAAAAATAAGAATTGACTTGATGGCAGAGGGTTTGTTTTTCATTTTTTTGTTTTAGGAGGACACGATGCTAGCTTGCCTGAGGTTCACAGCTATCCTTCCCTACTCAGTCTCTCTGGGTAACAGGTGTCCAGCAGTCCAGTGGTCTCTGGGGCACAGCGCTGGGCAGCCTGTCTGCCAGGGAGGACGATCTAGTGTTGGCACTTGAGGCCTGGCAGTTTGGACATGGGGACTAATGAGGATGGATGGTGTTGGGGTCCAGAGAGGTGGCGGCCCGCTCTCTCCCAAACAACAATTGAGTTTATGAGAGATTCCGTATGGCAGGGCGGTGATCCTGACAGCTCCTGGTAGGAACCCGGGAAAAGATTGCTTCTGACGGAAGCCCTAATGGATATTAACATTTATCGGCTGTGCAAGCACTTCTCAGACAATAATGGCCTTTCTTCCATGGCGGCTCAGGGCCCAGAGCCCCCGATCCAGGTGTCTGAGCACCAGGACCAAGCGAGGTGCTGTTCCTCGCCGCCTCCTCTCTACCCTGAAGCCCAAGCCGTCAGAATTACTGCCTCCCAGCCCAAATCCTGATTGACTTCCCCAGAGATTGGTTTCAAGTCCATCCAAGTGGAAGATGCATGGCCTTGACTGGCGTCTCGGTCTTTCATTAAGCCTGTCCTAACCCTTAACTCTGATTTCTGGGCTCCAGCTATTGTGTTTACACTGTTCTGCTCGCCGAGGGGTTTCTGGAGGCGAATGCCATAACTCAGATGCTCTCGGAGTTAGGAAAACAAAAGAGCTTTTAACCCCCAGACACGGATCCAGCACATTTAAAAGCTCTCAGTTGGAGTTTGAAGACAGGTTTAGAGATATGTCTGTCTTTATCGTCTTTGGGGGATTCTCGTCTGCTCTCTCGCTGGTTCCTAATGGCTGACTTTGCCCTGCTGGCTCACCTCGCCCCTGCGGCCCTCCTGGCTCATGTCTTGGCCCTGCTTGGGTAAGCTGACCCCTTGCATCCCATCACATAATCTCTTTACAAGGCTTCCCTCTCCCCTCTTCTTCTCAGTCACTTGTTTCATCTGAAGTTAAACTCTTCCTCTGGAAATCAATATGCTAAAAATAGTCAACATGGAGCTTGGTGAGAAAGCAATGCATCCTACTGGTCTTTTCTCACGCTCCAAGTGTCAGGATGGAAGACTGGAGAAGCTTCTACCTGGATACCTCTGGAAGGAAATGAACTCCAAGCTCCCATGTCTTCATGACCCCTGTGAGGATTGTGTACTGTTCCCTGGACCACCGTAGACTCTCGCTTGGTGGGAGCTCAGTGAGGGCGGGGTCATGTACATCTTGGTCATGGTTGGGTTGCCAGTGTCTTGCACAGAGTGGGGCTCATTATCATAAATCATTACCCAACAGCTACTAGTTCCTGTGTTTAAAGCTCTGCAAGCCTTTGGTAACGGAAGCCTCAGTCAACCCCACGGATCTCTAAAGGGGACGAGTGTCTTTTTGGCTGTCCTTCCTATGGACAATTCTCCATCTTCTGAGGACTGGTGGGAGACAGAGGCCCACTCCCACTTTAGCTGCTAAAAACATCAGTCATTTAGTCCCTTGCAGTGAGAGTTGTAGGCATGTGACCACCACTCAGAAAATGCCCAGTGATTGAGTCAAGAAGCAGGAACAGAGTCCCTTCCAAAAGCAACAGTGAGATTGTGTCCCAGGCCATCACCAGCTTCAATCTTAGTGGGGGTTTTTGGGTCCAGGTTCAACAGTGTCCACTGCTCAGCAGCAGCAACACTGGGGCAGTGGGGTTCTCATCAGGCCAACACATAGCCTGGTCTGGGGGAGCTCTGTCCCAGCTATGCAGCCCTAAGCTGGTTTCTCAGTGCCCCAGTCTCCCTTCAGCACATTTCTTTTCTCCTTAAATCTGCTACTTTCTGTTGCAAGCAACAGACCTCTCACTGATATAAGTGGGTATGCCCATTTCACAGCTGAGAAAATCAAGGCTCAGAGAACTTAAGTAATTTGCCCAAGGTTACACAGCAGGCCCGAGAGGTACACCTCAATCTGTCTGGGGATAATGGAGCCCAAGTATGTAACCTCTCTAGTGACGGGCCCAATTAAATGCCTGTCAGCTGAACAAGTGAACAGCCTCCTCCTCTTCTCTCTCACCACTCTAGGACAGGCACAGTTCAGCCACGCTTCCTCAAGCACAGTTCTCATCCCATCTTTCATCTTTCTAACACCCTCAATAGCTCTCCAGTGTCTGCTGCAAACCCCCATAACCTGGGATACTGTCAACTCCACCCTCATCTCTTCCATGTGCCACATACCCCAGAGGACTGTCTGTCCCCTGACTGTCCTGCCCGCTGACTCCCAGACCTTCATTATCTTGTTCCCCCTTCCTGAAACATCTCTTTCCTACATGCTCGGAAACCCTACCCACCCTCTAAGGCTCATCAGAAACACCCCGTTCTCCAGGAAGCCCAGATCTTGCCCCATCTCTGATGACAGTGACTTCCTCTATCCCAAATCCCTGAAGAGTCTGAGATTCTTGGAAGAACTGGGACTGCGGTGTCCCCATTTATGTACTTCTCCAGGACCCAGTACACAGTAGGTGTTCAACATGTCTGTCCAATTGAAATTATGTGAATTAAGCTGAGAATCCTTAAAGAACCAGTTCCTACAGGGTCCTCCCGGGTCAGTGGTGCAGACTGTTCACTGCTTTAGGAGATCCAGGCCAGGGGACAAGCCAGGCTGAAAAATGGCCCCCATCAGCCCCCTCCTCAAGCCCTGCACTGAGTGTGGTCTATTCCTGCCTGAAGAAAAGGACGTGGGGCTTTCAAAAATGTGCACAAAGTCACTCGATGGTTGGTGGTAGGTCTGTCTCCAAGCCTGGACCCCAGGAGAGGGTCATAAGCCCACCTGTTCCTCATGTCCCAGTCAGGACTCCTCTAGCTCTCAAAGGGGGCTATTTAAACTATGGTCCCACAGGCCAAATCTTGCCTGCTACCTATTTATCTCAATAGCTTTATTGATATCAAACACACATACCATAAATTCGTCCATTTAGAGTCTACAATTCCATGGTTTTCAGTGTATTCACAGCTTCTCACAGCGACCAGCACAGTCAGTTTTAGAGCATTTTCATTACCTCAAAGAGAAACCCTGTATCGTCTCCCTACTGCCTATTTTCATATGGTCTGAGAGTTAAGAATCATTTTAATGGTTTTTTTAAAATGATTTTTCAAAAATCAAAAGAATATTTCATGACACATGGAAATTATATGAAATTCCAATTTCAGTGTCCAGACCTACATTGTTACTGAACATAGCCGGCCTGTGTGTTTGTTTTGTCTCTGGCTGCCTTCCCACTAGTTGTGACATAGTTGTCACAAAGACTGTTGAGACTGTATGGACCACAAGCCTCAGCTAGGGACATCTGATGCTTTGCAGACAGTTTGCAGACAGTTTGCAGACCCCTTTACTCTTCCCGTTGCAGAGTTCTTTGGGGGAGATGATGATGGCCAGGCTTATGGGGGTTGGGATGGTAGGTACCAGGCCAGAGCCGGTCCAAGGGAGCGATATGGGGGTGAGGCTGCTCAGAACATCCTGGAATCATTGGCACAGTCTGCTGGGCCACTCCAGGGTCCCCACTGTCTGCCGGGCAGATAGGAAGCCATGTCTGGCTGAGCAGCCACCAGTTGGGAGACTCACCGTCCAACCGCCACCATCAGTGCTCATGTCGCAGTAGACCTGGAAGCCGGCAGGGTAGTGGGTGGGAAAGACTGAGTAGATGCCATCCTCCTGCTGTCCACTCAGCAGTACATCCAGACAGTCACGGGGCCGAGAGCCTAAGGCAGGGAAGTCTGGTCAAGGGCCACTGGGCCCAGGCTCCTGAGTCCCTGCCCAGCCCCCTCCCTCTGAGCCTGTCCCTGGATCTCTCTGACTTGTCTGTGCACCTGGCAATGTCTTTGTGACCAAGAATGCAGGCCTGGGTTCGACTTGGGTCTACCATTCCCTGTTTGAGTTTGGATAAGTGAACTACCCTCTCTGAACTTTACTTTTCTTACCTGAGAAATGGTTTGGGAACTGGGCATCATGATACCACCTTGTAGGGTCTGGGAGAAGGTTCAATGCAAGGGCTCAGATAGTGTGCTCAGCACTGCCTACCCCATTACCGTTGAATCGTAATGACCCTTTTAGACAGAGTAGAACTGCCACACAGGGTTTCCAAGGCTATCAATCTTTACAGAAGCTGACTGCCTCATCTTTCTCCCATGCAGTAGCTGGTGGGTTTGAACCAGTGACCTTTGGGTTAGCAGTCAAATGCTTTAACCACTATGCCACTAGAGTTCCTTCAGCTCTGCCTAGCTCATAGTAAATGCTCAATAAATAACACATGGCTGTGGCATGGGGTAAGGAGGCTGAGGTTCAAGACGTGGATAGCTGTGGTTTGGGCTCTATGTGTCTCATGACAGGGAAACCCTCACCCCAGCTTTCCCACTCCCCGGGGCTGGGCACCAGGGTCCCCAGGAAGGCAGCCCTCTACTCACCATTGGCGCAGCCCCGGGGCCGTGCTCCCCTGGCAGGTGCCCTCTGAAGATCAGCCTTGACTCGGGGTCGACCCAGCCCCCGGTCCCTCTGCAGGGCATCCAGGACCTCGCTGACGGAGGTGACCAGGTGAGCCATTTGCCCTTGGCTCTCAGAGAGAAGCTGCAGGGCACAGAAGGGCAGATGCTCTAGTGGACCTCAGGGGCCACAGCATGCCACCTGCCAGGGCGCCTTCCTGTACAACTGTGCTTTTCCCAAGGCAGAGGTGGGCTCCAGGCATGTCGGTAGCCCTGGCCCTGCTCTAGTCCCAGGATCTGGGCCTGAGGGGCCTGCTGTGTTCTCACAGAGCCTGCTGGTCCGGGACTATGAGCCCTCAGAGGACAGAAGGCTCAGGCAAAAGGGGACAGAGTGGCTCCAGCAGGCACTTGTTGCTCCTGCCGTCCTTAAGCTCTGTTCTTTGGCTATTTCTGTCCCTTCAACCCTGGTGTGGATAACCTGGTGGGGGGCTTACAGTACAGCTAGAGACAGCACCCGGAATGAAGCAAACCCAGTTCAAAGCCCAACTCATCCATTTACCAGTCATATGACTTTTGGCAAGTGGCTTCTCTCCTCTGAACAGGGCTTATGTGACTTCCCTGGATAAATTGCTATGGGAACCAATGACAGCACAGGGGAGGTGCCCAGACCCATAGGTTCATATCATTATGTAAACTAATATAGCTCTTTACAAGCTATAAAGCATCCTGGCCTCTGCAGGCTCTCTGAGCCCCATTCAATGTCATGAAGGCAGGGTGCATCACCTGCACGTAACAGATGACAACTTGAAATCTCAGGGAGGGGCTGGGGGCCTTAGTATAGCCTCTGTGCTCAGGCTGGACCCAAGAATGAGGATGGGGATACCCCACTCTCCCTTGCCATCCCCATGCAAACTTCACTTTGACCTTCCTTGGCTCTCTGATGTCCACAACTTCACCAGAGCCCTCCCCCCCCACACACACACATTGTTGTAAGAAGGCAGGACTTAAGTCGCTATCTCCTTGATGCAGATGGGGAAACTGAGGCCCAGAAGGAGAGGTCCCCAAGAGTGAAGGACAGCACAGGACCAAGACTCAGACCAGTTTCCCAGGGTGACCAGCAGAAACGGAAGCCAGTGCTGCACTCACTATACAGCAAGTCCAGGGTGGGGTCAGCATAGGGCCTAGGGGCAGTGGTATGGACCCAGACCCTAGTGTTGGTTGTCTGGGTTTTGACTTCAACCCCTTTCCCCATGCACTATCCACACGATTCTGGGAGTGTGACCCAACCCCTTCAGACCTCACTTTCTTCCAAAACGAGGGTAATGAGACTTTTTGTCCTAGAGGGAGCAGGGCAGAAATTTGAGATAATGTATTTGAGCCTTCCTGCTCAGTAATATTAACTATCTGATTGCTCATACCACTGCGGCCCCACCCATCACAGGGACGCATCTCTTCTCATGAAATGCAGCACTTTTTCTCCTGGGCCTCTCAGCTATGCCTGCTGCCGTGGCTTCTGGGGTCCTTGTCTCCCCACTCTGGGCCCCAGGAGGCAGGAGGGGGAGGCAGGGTTCATAGGCAGCTGGCTGACCAATGAGTAAGGAGCTGGCTGGGTCTTTACACATCGGATCTGTCACTGGGCAGATGATAGCCCTTACAAGGAAGGAAAATAGAAATACACCGTATTAGCAGTTTACAAAATAAGATCTCAGCTCATCCAAGGCAGGTTCCCTGCAAAGCTTTTAGTTTCCCTGTTAGTTTCCCCTCTGCTGAGCAGGTGATTCAGTGTGGGCTGAGCCTGGCGGAGCAGCGGTGCACAGAGGGGCCAGGAGAGGTGGGCCAGGTGGGGGGGGTTCCTCCGCAGGCTTCATCGCTCAGTCCTGTAGACACGCCCTGGGGATAGCCCTGCAGAGGGATGCATGTGGGCAGGGGGTGAGACCAGCCCCACAGGGTGTGGGCAGCCAAGATCTCCTGGGGCTCATGACTCAGTGGTTTCAACTGTACCTGTCTTGCCTGAGAACCATCCTTCTGAATCAACTCAGCCACAGAGGAGGAGCTCGTCTGAGATACAGGCTAGAAACTCAGGCATGGCCCCTTCTTGCTAACGGGCAGGAATGACTTCAGTTTAAACTAGCAAATGATTAAACTTGAAAATGTACATATAAACATGACCTGAATTAATGGAGAAGTCAGTCCCTGAGTGCTGAGCTGCGGAGATGCAGCCAGAGGACTCTGATGAGGTTTTTAGAGGCAGCGAAGTCGGAGTTGCTGCTTCTGGCACTTCTGAGTTGTGGTATCAGGCTTAATCAAGGCAGCCCCAGTCTGTCCCTCCAAAGAATGAGGTAATAATCATACTTACTTCTTGGGGTTATTGTGAGACAAAGAGTGTAACACACGAGCAGGCTCAGCAAATGATGGTTTTCACCCTGACTGTTATAAAAGGGAGGGATTCTCAGGGTGGGGCAAATGGTCAGTGCGCTTGGCCGCTAACCAAAAGGTTGGAGGTTCGAGTCCACCCCGGACACCTCAGAAGAAAGGCCTGATGATCTACTTCCAGAAAAATCAGCCACCGAAACCCTATGAGCACACCTCTACCCTGGCACTAACGGGGCTGCCATGAGTTGGAATTAACTTGACAAAAAATAGCAAACTGATGTTGTAAAAGGGATTTTAAGTGGTGTCTCCCTACAGCTCTATACTTCAGTTAACAACTTCCACCATAAAAAAAGAACAGAAAAACCCCACTGCCATCAAGTTGATTCCAACTCCTAGCTACCCTAAAGGACAGAGTAGAACTGCCCTATAGGGTTTCCAAGTCTATAGATCTCTATAGAAGCAGGCTGCCTCATCTTTCTCCTGTGGATCAGTTGGTGGGTTCATTTGAACCACCGACTTTTTGGTTAGCAGGTAAATTCCTTAACCACTGCACCACCTGAGCTCCAATATAGGAAACAGGAAACAATAGCTAGTGAGTGTCTCTCCCATGCCAGATACTAGCCAAGCCCTACGCAGTCTGGTGCTCACAGCATTTCATCAGGGATGTACTGTGTTACCTCCATTTTATAGGTGAGAAAACCCAGCCCAGAGAGGGGATGGGATCTGCCCGAGGTCCCATAGCTGCAGCCTGGACTGGATTCCAGGCCTGCTGACTTGAACTCTCAGGGGTCTCAAAGGTTAGTGCATCTATGAATCAGCTGGGGGGGGGGTTGTTAAAATGCAGGCTCCTGCCCTCTCTCCGTATTTAGAACCCAGGGGATGGAGCCCAGGAACTTTTAATAAGCATCCCTGGCAATTCTTCCCAGGGTGCCCAGGTCTCAATCAGCTGAACCCACTGCCATCCAATTCCAATTCACAGCGACCCCTGCTGGGTATCCAAGGCAGTAAATCTTTATGGAAGCAGATTGCCCCATCTTCCTTCCGTGAAGCAGCTGGTGGGTTTGAACCACCAACCTTCTGGTTAGCACTTAAATGTCTTAGGCACTGCACCACCAGAGCTCAATGAACTGAGGGTCTAGGGAACTTGAAGTGGAGTTAGGAGGCACGTATGGCTGCCTCCAAACGAGACACAAAGACAAATCGTCTCTGAAGTCATCCTGAGTCTCTAAGAAGAGTCAAATTAAACATTTTTTGAGAAGTAAATTCATCAGGTGAGCCAAAGTACTCCTGTGCCCCAGCAAAGCTATTAGTCTTTCGAGACCATCCCCAGGCCTCTTCAGAGATTATGGGGCGGGGACTCGGAGGCTCTGCCCCCCACACACACACTCAGCCTTCAGAGCCAGCATTTGTGGGCTAGGCTTGAGTTGACCTGGGGCTGAGCGTTGGGAGAGCGAGATGAGGGTCTCAGATCACCCAGAAAATCTGGAGGGCTCCCTGAGCCTTGCTTGACAATATGTGGGGAAGTTGAAGATGGAGGGGGCAGTGAGAAGGCCAACTAAACACCCCCACCCTGCCCCGGGAGCGGGAAGCCGCCTTCCCATCAGTCACCCAGACAGGGTGATGAGGACTGTAATTGCTCCAGCTGCAGCTTTCAGAGGGAGGGAGAAAGCCCATTGCTCACGAGCTGCTGGGTGACCAGATTGCTTGGCCATCCGGGTGTCTGGGTAGGGGGTGGGGGGAGGCGGAAGGGGCTGGAGCAGCTGAGCTGTCGAGAGCGAGGGTGCAGGGCAAAGGGCTTGCCTCCCACCTCCTAAGGCTCCGAGGCAGAGTGGTGAGGGTGTGGGGCTGGAAGCTGGGCGGGTGACGGGTGATCGGATTCTAGGCTGACCTAGCCACTGGACCTTGAGAAGACTGCCACCCCTATCTGGGTCTCTATGTTCTCTTCTGGAAAATGGGGCAAGGCAAATGAGATGATCCTAAATCCCTGATTCTATGAAGGGGGAACTTCTTGCTGGTATGGGCTCTGAGCCAACATTGGAAACCCTTCACCTAGACCCACCTGATGCTTGCCAGAACGCTGCCTTGACTCGGGAGTAGGGGTGGGGATGTTTGGGACTGTCTGAAGGTCCAGCTGGGCTCTCTCAGTCGGTCCCTCCTTGTCTTGAAAGCTGTGGGCAACTTGGCAGTGGGCTAGGGGAGCAAGGGGGAGGGATGCAGCTCTTTGGCCTAGTGACAACACTGGGAAGAGAGCTTGCCACTTGGCACGCTGTCAATGTGTCCTTGAGCAAGTTACTTCCTCTTCGGGCCTCAATGTGCTTGCCCGCTGATGGGGCAATCAGTGTTCCCCTCGCTTGCATCCCACTTGCAGTGTGGAATGTCTCCCCACCAGCCCTGACTGTCAGGCCAGAACAGTCAGGTGTGGCCTGTTGGCTACCCTGGGGCCATCTGTACGGCAGGAGAGAAATTGGGTTTGAGTCCTGGTGCTACTACCCAGAAGCTGTGTGGCCTTGGGTTAGAGATGTTACCTCTCTGGCCTCATCAGCTCATCTGTGAATGGGAATAACTCCAGCCCAGTGTCCCAGTCACTTAGGGATTTAGTGAGGTCGTGGACATCAGGTACCCAGCACAGGGGCAGCATGCATCGACAGAAGCCCTCGGCCCCCACCAAGACCCCAAGGCGCGCAGCCTGCCCTCACCTGGATGAGGCGGCCCTGCTCGCTCTGCAGGGCGTTGAGCCCCTGGCCCAGTGTGCTGTGGTCCTTCCGCAGCCCCACGCATTCCGCCTGCAGCTCCGAGGCCCGAGCCAGCAGCCGAGGCAGCTGGTCAGCCAGCGTGTCCAGCAGCACCCGATCTTGCTCACCCACCAGTCGCGGCCTAGCTTGGTGCTCGGTCAGCACCCGTAGCACTGAGGCCTGGGCACCCTCCAGGCGGGTGAAGCCGTCAGTGAGGTCGGGGCAGCGTGGGTCGATGAGGATGCTGAGGTGCGAACTGTCGGCCCTGTCCACGGTGACTAGGGCACTGTTGGGCCCAGCCGGCCCGGTGCTGACGATGGGTGGGGGCGCTGTGCCCGGTGTGTGGTTATGGTTCAGGAAGAGCACAGCCCCTGTGACGGCCACGGCCAGCAGCACGGCCAGGGAGAGCAGCACAGTGCACAGCACGTAGCCACAGCTCGGCCGCTGTGGGCCGGCAAGGACACACAAACAGAGACAGACAGATGGACGGAGAGAAGGGACACAGCATTAGAGGTAGGCCTGGGCCTCAGCTTCACCAGTGGGGAAGGTGCGGGCAGCCCTAGAGCTGGGTCTCTGGCCTTTGTGAGTCCTAAACAGAGCTCAGAGGACCCCCTTCCTGGGGGTGGGGGAAGGGAGTTATAGAGACAGGCAGAGATGAGAGACAGAGAATCCCATAGGGAGACAGAGAGAGCCACACACATAGATAAAGTAAGAACGAGGAAGTATAAGATGTGGGACCACAGGTAGAGGGGGAAGGAGGAAACGGAGACTCAGAGGGGAGAGAGAGACCAGGGAGAAAGCGAAATACAGTGAGTGAGAGATACAGGGAGACAGCCTGCCTGTCGCTGCCCCTGCCTTGTGCCATGTGCCCTGCACAGTGTGGACACAATGGCCCTTTCCCTCCCTTCCCTTTTGTCATCTCTGGCTCCTGCCATCCATAGACACTGGGGAGGAGACACAAACTGCAGACACAGCGTCTCACTCAGGACTGGGGACTTGCCGGGGAGACATGGCATGCACCCATGATGTGCTTAGGTGGCCAGGGGCGTCAGGTGCTCTGTACAGGGTGGGGCCCTAGGCTTGCAGGAGCTGAGGGCTGGAGGAAGCCAGGGAGAGGCCAGGGTACTCCGAGGGTGGGCGGGAGGTGGGCATGAGTTTAGTGCTATCCCTGGGGCCCTTTCAGGTCTGATAATAGCTGGAGGTGAAGACTCTGCCATTTCTGCCTGTGTGACCTCAGGTGAGATCCCTCGCCTCTCTGAGTCTCAGTTTTCTCCCCTGTAAAATGGAGGCTATAATGACACCCACCTCTCCGGGTTATTGAGATCCCATGAGTAGCTGCCATTTGAACTCAGGAGGGAGATCAGGAACAGTGACTATGTTAAAAAAACGTCATGCTGTCAGAGTGCCTTGTCAAGTGTCTTGGGGGTAGTGAGTGCCCATCACTGAAGGTCCCTTCCAACCTAGGCATCCACATTCTAGGGGTCCCTGGCAGCCTCAGCTGGCTTTCCCGTCTCGTGGGCACAGTATGGCTGCCCCAGCACCTTCCTCGCTCCCC